CAAGGCCCGGCTGGATCAGGTGGCACGGAATAATACAGGCTAATGAAATACAGCACAGCTTTCCATTACTGTTAGTTTTTACAGTGTCGTCATTACGTGTAATTTATGTTTAAAAAATTCAATTTTATACAAGGCACTGGGAAATAGGGGTCTACAGGTCATCCAACGACTTTTAGAGGCTCTGAGAGTCCTTATTGTACTCCACTGTTTCAACAAAATGTTAATAAAATAAAACAAAAATACTTTTTTTTCTTTCCCCTCCCCTAACCTTTTCTGAGAGAGTTGATTTTTCTTTTAATTTGGGGAGTCTTTTTAACCAGCTGTCTTCTCTGCCTTGTCTCCTTCCAGAGTGTGCACGGGTAGGTAACTAGTTGTTCTGAGAGAGGTGACCCCACTCGGTCTGTGTGAGCCCTGGATGAGTCACCTGAGTCCTGTGAACAGAGGGACTGTGGTGGGGAGGAAGCTGGCCAGAGTGGCCAGCCCAGAACTGCCGCTCTTTGCCACTGGCCCTCTGCCCTGTTCCCTAATAAACCTTGGGCTGGGCTGGAAGGTGCTGTCAGGCGTTCATTATCTTGCTTATTTCCCAGCTCTCCCTGACCCTGCTGTCCCGGTTGTTGTCTGACCTGAAAGATGCAGAGAACACTGCTGTCTGCTGTCATCTGTCTTTCTGCTTCACCTGCACAGGGCCAGGCCCGGTGGCAGTGCCGTGCGGTCACTGGGGACCGTGTTGAGGTTACTTATTCTGAGAAGCCTTTGCACAGCCGGTCCCACAGAAAAAAGCCAGCCCTCCCCTGTACCCAGTCTGTCTGTGTCCTGGGAAAGGACCCTGCATCCTGCAGCTCCCAGAGTCCACCAGTTTGGGTGTGTTTGCATTGTAACAGAACCTGTAGAAAAAGAAAGCAACTTTGTTTATCTTGTAAGGCGTAAAAATAAGCAGGGGTGGCAGCCCTGAAGCCGATCGCTTCAGTGGTCAGTAGACTGTAGCTCACTAGGCTGCTCTTTGAAAAGGCTCCCGCCCCGGAGGAAGTGTTGGAAAAGGAGTCCTCTGCCGGCTTCTGCACAGGGGCAGTGGATGGCTCCCGGTGAAGGGGGCTGACTCTGGAGGTAAATTCCAGAGACCCAAGGTCAGGACTGGGACTTCATCTGCACAGTGGGTCAGAATGGAGAGCTCTCGGCTTTGCAGGTCAGGCAGCTGTGGCCTTGAAAGTAAAATGACACAAGTCCCCTCGTCCCTTTCTCCTCCCCTGACTGACGCTAGTGAGTGGACGAAGCACTGGGCAGGACTTCCTTAGTTTTGCTCCCTGTCAGTAATATATTTTATTTATCAGTGTCACAGATCAGGGGAGGGCTGGTGGCTCTTGGAGTCAGCAAGCAGCAGAGGTGAGGTTACTAAACGAGCCTCTAAGTACAGTGTCAGTGATATCAGGTAATGCAGTTGACACCCCGAACTGAAAATTTTTAGGTTTTATTGAAATTGGCTAATTCTCCCAAAGGCAGCAGCTAAAGGAAGACTTGCGGCAGACGGGAGGGGAGGTTTGCCTGCCACAGACTGACACCCTTGCTCCATCTCTGCTCAGCTCAGCCCTTGCTCAGTCCCTGGGCGGTTAGATTATTCCTTGCAGATAGCAATCAACTGGAAGGAAGTGTGTGTGTCTAATTTGCATGAGATTATTTAAAACAAAAAAAAAAAGGTCTGCATTAGTCAGGGTGATGGTAAACAACGCAAAGAGATGCCTTTTATAATATAGCCCGTGTCTCAGCTTTCAGAGCCAAATATAATTCTCTTACAATTGGCAGTTTCCTTTATTATTTCTTTTAACCTTTTGGATTCTGCAAGGTCTCACTCTAAGCTCTCCAGTGTTTCTCGGGGAGGAGGGTGGCTGGGACCTGGATATGTTATGTGTGGGCTCCGTGGCAGGACCTCTTCCCTAAAGGCAAGGGCCATGCAGCACCGGGAGCTCAGGACTGGTAGATACTGGTTGTGTTCCGAGGGAGATTTCTTACCTACCCACCCCCCACCCCCGTCCCCTGTGTCCAAAAGTCCTGATAAATCACCTGAGAGATTCACCTGTAGAGTCCTGAACCTGGTCAACCCTCCCTGAGCTGGGGACACGCCAGAGGAAGAGAACACTGTGGAAGCGTAGGCACCAGTATGTGAGAGGCCTTTGGATTTATTTGGGGTTAGAACATTTGAATGAGGTGAGGTCACTCTACCCTTGTCACTCCAGTGGTGTTCAAAAAGTTGTCCCGGTGTCATTGCCGAGAGGATCCAGGTGTTAGGCTCCTGTGCTGTTTTGGTATAGCCTCGAAACAGCATCCATGGGCTCTTACCTGGGGATGGGGGCCCTGCATGGAGAAGAGGTTTAGTCCTTATCTAAACCTCTTTCATAAGATGGAAGGCTGCTCTTCAGTGTTTTGTAACTGTGCTGCAGTGGGAAGCCACCAGGCTGGAGATGGAAGCCCTGGCTTGTCATCCAGCAGTACCGTGCTCTTCACTGGTATGCTTCGAGGCATATTTTTCACCCTCCTTGGGCTTCAGTTTTTTTAATCTGTTAAATGAAGGCAATGACTGGGATAATGGTCCAGCTCTGAAATTATATTATTCAGTGAGATCATTAAAATGCTTATTTTTTTTAAAAGAAGAAAAATGATTCACTTTATGTAACTAAATCAAAATCCTGACTCTCCAGAGGACTAGGGATATCAGAATTCCAGCCAGTGTAAATTTAGAGCATCAAATGATAAGGTCTCTGAAAAACAAGAGCTTGGAAGGATGTGCTGATGCCCTTTAAACCACGGCCTTGTTCGCGGACTCGGCTGCAATAATGCAAGAAGCATGTTTTATTAGGAAAATAGGCTTTGTCAAAGCTCAGGGCCAGAGGGCAGAACAATGGGCAGGGAGTCCTGTCCCTTTAACCAGCTCCGGCTCTCAGGGCCACAGCCCAGCCTGTAACTTACTGTATATTTCCCCAGTGTTAAACATTATCGTACTTGTTTATATTTGAAAGAGCCAAAAGGGAAAATGAGAATGCAACTGAATGCTCCTTTTGGGAAAATTATCCTCGTTTGCAGCCAGCGGCTGACAAGGCACACGAACCAGCAGGCTTGTAGAATTCCGTAGTGTGCTGGTGACCGGCAGCTGTGCTGACGTCGCATGTGCCGCTGTCTTTGGTGGCTGACTGCGAACTGGTTAAAGCAGTATCTTTTCTACTAGAACCCTGAACGGGGTTCTCCTTCCTGTTTAGGAGGAGACGTAGTCTCCATTTTTTTCTGGCCTGTCTGTCTGTCCTGCCCCTGTTCTTGGGAGGTGAGATGATGATAAAGCAACCCCTTTGCAGTAAGCTGGGGAACTGGGGAAGAGGGATATCCCCCGTCTTGCCCCATATACTCAGATTTAGCCTTTGCATTTTGAAGGTGCTAAGTGCCAGTAAATGACCCTCTTTGCACCCTGGCGGCCTTTCCATCTACCCATCAATCTGATGAGAAACTTCACAGAGGTGTGGCCTGGCCTGCCACACCAGCTCCACTGTGTGTGTGTGTGTGTGTGGGGGGGGCTGCTGCAGTGTTAAATGGGGTCAGTTCTCAACTGCCCAGTGCAGAGAGGCGAAGGGGTGTGGGGCCATTTAGAAGAGTTCAGGCATTCTCCCAGAAAAGTTCGTGTGATGGCTGCAGCCCACTCACGCTGGTGTGAAGCAGGGCAGCGCCATGCTTTAGTGTATTAACGTGCTCCATCTAGTAGCCCCTTGGCACAGAGCATGCAGCACCAGGCTTGGGAAGATGCTGATCCTCAGAACCTCCTGTACTGACTTCATCTACCCCCAGGGGCAGATAGACCATGTTGTGGGCCTCTAATGGAGAGCTGCCGACCAGATGTGGAAAAGCTCCCAGCTCTAGTTTAAAAGCTCTGTGTTGCGGCTGGACTGGATATTGGGATTCCCGTAAGAGCACAGGCTGGCCGGAGTGGTCTTTTGCAGCGACCTCCCACCTTCCTTTCCTGTTCTCAGTGGCTAGAGCATGTTTGCACGCACACGTTGCTTCCAAGCTGGCCCGTGGGAAAGTTTTTCTCCCACCTGTGTGCCCTGTGTGCCTTTGTTTTGTTTTTTGGGCAGGTTGGTGCCCTCACCCTCTTCCCACAGAACCAGTGTCCCCAGGCTGCCTTGGAAAATCTTCCAGCTGTGTGCCCACTGGAAATGTGGTCTCCATGGGTCTTTCACTTGCCTTTTATTCCTCCGTGGGCAAATCCTCTCCACATGTTGTAGCCACTGCAGATGGCGCCCTGCTATTTCCTGGTGTCCCGTGTGCAGTGTGGTGTAGAGTGTCGGGAAGATTAAAAAAAAAAAAAAAAAAAAACTAGCCAAAGGCGATACAGGCAGCCTGTGATAGGCTAGAGTAATAATCATCTGAAAGTTTGGGCCTGGCCTTGTTTTGATCTGTTTTCTTGTTTTATTTTCTTCTTTACATTCTATATCCCATTCATACTAATCACAGTCAGTCCTGATTTTTCTTTTTATTTCTGCATTTGTCATAAAATAAAGCAAATTATTCCCGTCTTCGGAAACGATCTAGACTAATTAGTCGTCTCACCCAATAATTAGTTTTTTGTTTCCCTGTCTGTTTTCATGCATTATTGTTAGTTTTTTCCCCTCTTTTTTTTTTTTAACACCATTACAGATTAAAATGAGCCACATTTGCAGTTGATGGTATCTGTTTTCGGGGGAAGAATGGAGAATTGCAGTACGGAGCGACTTCAAAAGCAGCAATAAACTCAAGGATAAATTAAGGAAATTGAATGAGCCACATTTGGAAGCAGTGTTGAGGCTAATATTCTGTCGCTTAAGGTTAAATTGCAACTGAGAGAGGTTCCAGAGAATCCGAAATTGGAGAGGCAACCTCCCAGGATGCTAGGCATTCTGTGGCTCTGAGAGTCAATGAAGATGTTCGTAGTGGCCATGGACAGTGGCAGAGGCACTCACCTGCAATCATGTGCTCTTCTCCCCCAGGGCTGACAGACGAAGAGATCGATGTGGCTTTCCAGCAGTCAGGCACGGCTGCCGAAGAGCCTTCGTCCTTGGGCTCAGCCACACAGGTGGTTCCTGTCCAGCCCCCTCACCTAATTTCTCAGCCATACAGTAAGTCACCCACTCCAACTCCTGCTTTCACCTGGATTGGGGTTCAGGACTCTGGCCCAGAGCAGTGCTCCCGGTCTCCCAGACTCAGCAAGCGGGGAGAAACTGGGCGTAGTAGCCAGTGGCTCTTGTTTTTGTTTTTGTTTTTGCAGAAGAATGTGACACACCCAAATCTTCTAGACACACGTTGAAGTATGTGACAAAGGTTTAAGGAGAAGAGACGGGGGACCAGAATAAATGAGTTTATTAATGTGTTGTGTCAAGTATTATGGTTATAAGCAAGAATCTATAAAAGTACTTACTGGTTCAGTTTCCATTTTCTTAGAGCAGTGCTTTTACTCGTGACTAAGAGGAGCGAACAGGAACGTCAGGTTCATGAGTGTGTTCTCGTTTGCTCCCAGTTTTATTTTTTTAAAATTAATATTAGTAGATTTACACTGCCCCCTCCTTCTTCCCTCTTCCCTCGCCCTGCCCTCCTGCCCGCCTTTCCTGCCTTGTCCTGGCCATACCATGTACATTTATATAGTGGTAGTCTATTAAAGAATTTCAGATTCAGTGTAAAGATACTGTCTGAATGTAGTCTTTAATTGTTATGTGAGACCATGACCCACAGGAGGTTTTGTTGTTTTTAAATAAAAGCTGTTTTAGAAATCAAGGTTCTTCGAACCAGTAATAAATGTACATCTCCAAAACCCCTTCTTTAAGTCACTTGTACAAACTCTAAAAAGGTTAAAATTTACTCCAAAGTGATGGAAAATAGCTCAGTTTTGTATCTAATGTAACAGCCTCAGATCTGTTGTCTTTCAAAATGCCTTTTCTATAATTGCCTTCATTTTAATTGTCTATCTCAGAAGTTTTATTTTTTCAAAACATGATTTAAAACGGTGTTAGAGATCAGATTTTAAAAGGCGTGATTTAAACCCCTGCCGCGTGGTCTGGAGCTCCCTTCTGGCTCACTTTGCCATCCTTTTCCCTGGCTCAGCCGTAGTGGGGGCCAGGCAGGGGGTTAGAACCCGCTCTTTGTGTCACAGGTCTCATTTAGATCACTGCTTTCTTTTGCTTTACGGGTGAGGCCAGGTAGCATGCACATACAGGTGGCTCTCATCCGTGGTCGCCTTGTCTAACAAACCACTAGTGTTATGTGGCCTCTGAGACCAGAGGAACAGTGCTTTGTGGTGAGCCTTGTATGGGGGCTACTGAGTCAGCAGCAGCTACTTGTCAGCCTGGGACTCTTTGCTCCTTCCCGGCCAGCATTCTTTCCCATCCATTGCGTGTGCCTTGGGACACTAACCATACTCTGTGTGTTTCTTTTAAACCAAAGACTAAGCCTCCACAGTTTCTTGTTAGTTGTGTCCCAGGCCCAGCCGTTGAATGGGATTTGTTGAGGATGGGCAGTGGCAGCTGGGGTGCACATCTGTTCTATTCCAGCTGTTTCCTCTATGGCTTAATACCAAACAGGTCTCCTGGCTACTTGAAAACTTCTTGCTCAGAACAGAGTGTTCTGGCTTGTCACAGAGTTGGCCTAAACCATCCGGCATGTGCCTGCTGTGAGTAGACACAAAGGGTTAAACAGTTAGTCTTTCTGAAAGAGGCAAGAGCTGGGATGGGGAGGGGCAGTCCAGTCATTTAAATCATCCTCCGTGTAGATCTCTCTGAGAAAAAGCATTACAGTTAGGTATTTAGGTAGGAGTATTTTTAAGAGTCTCCCAGCCCTAAAAATAAAATACATCTTCTTAGAGACAGACTCCTTCCTGCTCTGACGCTAGTATAAAAACAATGGTAATGGCAATTTTAAATACCTGCAGTTTTTAGTTGTCACCGGTGAGTGTCATTCTTCTTGTGCCTCTGCCCTGCTCCCTTCAGCTCCTGGCTGACTCTACCTCTTCACTTCTGTACTTTTGCCAAGAGGTGTCAAAACTGCTCCAAAAAAAAAAAAAAAGCTTGATTTTGATTAATATAGAGAAAGAAGACTTTGCCTGACTGATAATAAAACTGATAAATGACATTTGAATTACTTGTAGCGGTAATTTATTACATAAAATATCTTTTATTTGACATGCGATTAGTTGCTGGAAGCATCACTCAACCTGACGAGTTTAAACATGCTCTAAAATGAACCCCAGTAAAAACCAGGGCTGTCTGCACCGGCGTTATGAAATATACTAATCCCGGAGTGAGGGGGAAATCTGACTTTAAATATTTAAATGATTAATTGGGTTTATATATTTTTTTTACCTTTCTAACCCCCTTAATTACAAGCAAACTCAGGGGAGTTTCTGAACTAGGTGTGCAATCTGCATGCTTATCACTGAGGCATTGTCTGCGTCCTGGGAGGGATTTATGGCCTCCATCCACGTGTGTTCCCGCCGGCTTCACATCTGGAGCTCGGACAGCCCTTCCCTCCGCGTTGCTTGACTTTTTAAGGACATTCTCTCCCTGAGCCCAAGTCTAGAAAACGGGATTCTCTGGGCTCAGCTCCAGATGCTCATGTCTTGGGGAGGGTAGCTTTTCCAAGACCACTGCAAGAAGCCCAGTGCTCCTGGATGGTCACCTCTGGACTTGCCGGTCCTCCTGCTTGGTGGCAGATGTCCCACTCGGTGCCTCTTTTGATGTCTCTGCTCTTTGGTGAATGTGGTTGAACTTGGGATGCTAGTAAATGCTAACGTCAGCGGAGAGAACACGGAGACCTACGAGAACGTTCAGTTCCTCAGTGCTTGTTAAGCACCTACTGTGTGCTCAGGATAGTGTGGTGGGATTCAGAAGACGATCATTAAGAATCTCATAGACTCTCAGGGAGAGAGAAGATAAACTTCTAAGAAAAGGATAATATAAGACATTGTGATTTAATGCCAAAATTAATTATATAGACAAGAAAATGCTGCAAGAATACAGAAAAGAGAAGAATTCATGTGGGCTAGAGAAGTCAGAGAAGGCTTTGTGAATGTGGTAGGAGGTGGCACCACGGGGAAGCTTGGTGTCACATGGCATGAGAATGAACCACTGTGTCAGGGCTCAGAAGAAAGTCAGGGGGAGCTCGGGAAAAGCCAGGCCCGAATTCGAGGGGAAACGTGGCATTCCATGTTTCTCATTCTGGTTTCTTCTTGCTCGACTTTGAAGCAGGACTCGGTATGTGTGTGTCTGGTGCCTCGCACGGTCCTGAACGGAAAGTCCTCATAAATGCTTGCTCGACTGACCGTTCCGTGCTGGTCTTCCTTCTTTCCTCCCAAGGAGACAAAAAGCAAAGTAGCTTTGAGAGATAAGCGGGGCCAGTGTGAATTTTGTAGGATAACATTTTTTTTTTTCTTAGACCTTTCAAAGTCAGACCTACAGCTTCAGGTGCCTCCTAAAAGAGGATGTAGATATCTGGGCTTGGGAAAAGGTTTTGACATTTCATTAGAAATCAGGAGAAAGAAAGTATATTCTTTTTCAGTCCATGGGACGACACTCAATCCACTGAGCCACACCGGCCGGGGTACCCTTGATTTTCTTAATTCAGTGAGTAAGCTTGTATTATTGAGGGCCTGCTATGTGCCCAGCACTGTGCTAGACCCCTGGGGTGCAAGGGTTATTAATAAGCCTAGCTGGTCGCTCTCTCTAGTTGCTCCTACCTGGTAGGAAAGGCAGTTAGCGAACGCAGCTGTGCTTGTGAGCTTGGCCCAGGAGAGGACAGTGGCACAGAGGAGGTGAAGGACGGTGGGAGGTGTTTATTGGACCTGGGGGGATGATTGGTTCAGTGACCAGACAGGATGGACAGAATTCTCCAGGCAAAGGCACTTGGATGTGAGGCCAGGTGCTGTTGAGAGCAGCCAGCGCATGTGATGGGAGCGTCAGAAGGGACACCCAAGAGGGAGGCAGCAGCCAGGTCGACACCCTGATGGAGGACAGTCAGATCACGTTAATTTTTTACTTTGAAATGCACCACCTAATTATTTTTGAGGCAGTATTATCTATGTGACTATGTTATCTTAGGCCAGTGTTAAAATTATTTGTATCATCTGAGCAGATGCTGCAGGGGAGCTAGGGAAGACCTCCTGGGAGTTGTGGATGAGGCTGTGCCTGGCCAGCTTGTTGCTGGTCGTCAGGTGGGGGCAGCTGCAGCTCCTGCAGGGAGACTTCAAATGCCTCCACTCCGGCCAGGGTGGTTGTCCCCCTGGCTTGGTCAGCCCCCTGTTCCCCTCACAGTGCTCTACAGTGTTTATTCACCGTCTTCCCCCTTACACTGAGTTCCTTAAGCTCAGAGGCTTTTTTATTTTCTCAGTCCATGACCCGAGGCTGTCTTAGCAGGTGTTCTAGAAATGCTTGTTGAACAGATAAGTGGAGATGGAAGTGTGCATCAGAACTAAAAGGCCGTCTGGTAATAACCATCAGCTCAGGCAGCTCCGGGAGCCAGGCAGCGGCCTCCTGTGTGCTCGGCCATGGGCTGTGACAGGAGAGGCAGGCCTGGCCACCAGTCAATGTGGAGGGAGTCCCTGTGCTTGGGAAGCACAGTGAAGACCAACCCATGCCCCTTGTGTGGTGTGGCTGGTGAAAGATTTTGGAATTTACGAACAGCGGAACCCCAGAGTGCCAGTCTTGGGTGAGGCCTTGTGGGGGAGGCAGGGCTTGGACTAGGCTGGAGTAGGGCAGAAGGGGTCCCTGTAGAGAGCACAGCCAGGGCTGGGCTGGGTGCTGTGTGTGTGAGTCACTCTGGAAGCCTCCGTAAATGAAAGGCATGCGTGGACATTCCCACCAAGAAATGACATGGGGAGCCTCTTCCATTGTCTCTCTCTCCCATTTCCCTCCGCCGGTGTGCCACACAGATCTCACCTGTTGCTACATAAGAGTTACTGGTTTGTGTATGAAACAAATATTTCTTTAATTTTTTGAGGAAATGGTATTTTTTTCTTTTGTCCAGGTGACTGGCCTAGAATAGTAGCTTCTCAGGGGCCACCACCTGCCCGCTGTGTTGGCTGTGCGTTTCACCCGGCGTGGTGCTGTGTGGGTCCAAACAGTGTGTGTGAACG